CCGTCATCAAGGTTTCTGCGAACGTACGTAACCATGATCCTTCTGAACCATCAATTTATTGCCTTTACTATGTAGACATATGAAAAATAATGTCTGGGCAAAATTAAGAATTTTGATTTCTCTTCAGATAATGATAGTCGACTCTCTGACTGGGCTATTCCTCAAATTCAGGCAAATGATCTGCTGTGGTAAACGAGAAAATCGCTTCTGACATTTAAGCCCGCCCCTATTGGGTCATTCCGTCATCAGTGGTTTTCTCTTCAGCATCACTATCTTCGGCTTCTCAAGCACTGCTCTTTAGCGAGGTAGATATGCTGTTTTGGGAAAAGTCGAAAATTTGGAATCACCTCTCTGCCACCCGTCCCGGTCAGTCCAAAGAAGGCCCGAAAACTCTTGTTTTTTTTAAAGACAATTTTACGGTAACTGAAGTTGCTATTCGTGTTCGGCACACCAAAATGGTCCAAAGGCTAAAAACTTGGAGTCGAAAATTTGCCGAAATTGCCACAATATTTTTGCTTATCTTCATCAATCTATTGATTAGAGGGGAAAGCTATTAACACTTTCTGCCGATCCCATAACTTATTTTTAAGCACGAAGCTGCTAGAGAGGGGTTAGGGTTGAGATATGCCTTGACGTGCGTAACTTGTGTTTTTTGATTATTGAAATATGTAGCAAAGAACAATTTTGAAGGGAAAAAGTTTCAAACTAAATGAGCAAGTAGTGAAACATAATGTTCTATGTTGGACATGAAAGCGACGTACCGAAGACTTTCCAGATTTTCTTTGTTTGAGAAGAATATCAGATTCCGGTCGCATCTCTCCACATCTTTATCGATACGATGCAAGTTGGCAGCGAACTGGCGGAAGAGCGCCTCTTCAGCATTCGGAGGTTGCGGCCTTTCCTGCTAAATCCGAGTATTTCTTATTCTGGAGTGTTTTTTTTTTGCTTACATGCAATATGCTTAAGCCTTCTAGATAGAATCGTGTTAGGAAGAAACGGAATAATTATAATTTCCCCAGTAAAAAATGTAGGGATAATGTGAAACGATGAATTCCTGATCTTTCACAAGCCTGGAGAAAATTAGAGAATTTCTTACCATTCCATTTTCTTCGCATTCCTCTTCCTCAAAAACGTCGCTTACGACTGACAAGTCGCGCTCAGTAAATGAGGGTTTACGATGTCTCGCTGTAATTTCATTGCTTATATTCTGCTCCAAAAATTCGAGAAATAAC